TTTGGTTGTTGTTGTTGCTGCAGCTGGTACTGTTGTTGTTGTTTGGTCTTGGCTCTTGTGACTATCTCTTCTTGTGAGCCACTCATGTCAAGGTCGTTTCCCACGGGAGCTATTTCCCGATGGAAAATTCCACTGTCTTGAGCTGTGTCGGCCTTTGCTTTACCCTCTAGGGGGAGCAAATCAAAATGTCCAGATACAAAGACAAAGTCCAAATACAAAGGCAAAGACAATGTCCAAATACGTAGAAGGAAGGAAAAAAAGTTTAAGGCAAGTATAGCAGGAGGCTTGTAAGTAAAAGTTGCCACAGTTTCCCAATAGATACTATCTCAGCCTGCTCTGGTATACTGTAGCCAAACAGTGCAGAAACTTTGTGTCACAATGTAACTTTCACAGGAAAAAGTCAGTTCAGTGTCCTATTGTCTTACTAGGCAGACCGTTTCAGGTCACTGAGACAGCAGAGAATTTTTCTTTTAAATAGATCATGCAGTTGCCAAAATCTCTCTTGGCTCCCCTCTGCCCTGCTAGCTAGAGGGGAGATCTAAAGTCCAGATGTCAGGTTTAATTAATCAAAAGCAATGTCTCTTACGGATGCAGCTTTACAGTTCCGTTGCTTTCACTTTCATGCAGTCGGGGGAAGGCAGACTTCCTTAATTTTTACCTCCCCGTTTTCCACCAAATTTCCAGAATTTAATTCCAAATAGACGTTCCGTTTTACTCACGGGTTTTTTCTGTCCGAAATTTACAGGAAGGAATCGGCGCTCTCCGCTAATAGCGACGCGGCTTCACCCTGCGGGCTGGGTAGCGATTCTCAGCACCGCGCTCCCCCGATGTCGTTCCAGAGCCTTTAAAAAGGCTCTTTCTGCGGTAAAGGGGGGGCGCTCCTGGTGCCCACCGAATCTCCTCGTTCACAGGCTTCCGCGCCTGTGATTTTAGGGGTCCCCCGCTTGCCGTAGCGGGACAGACCCGAACTCGCAGGGCAGTCCTTTTCCGGAGCTCGGAAAAAGGACCGCCATTAGCGCTGGCGCCGACCGGAAGTCCCCAAGCTGACCTGACACTCAGCAACAGCATCCGTTTAGCCTGGAGGAGACTGAGAGGTGCTGTGAGAGGGCCCCAAGAGGACTAGAATTTTATGTTTAGGAGAAGGACCAGCATCTGCACTGCATGCAGAAGGTCCCAGGTTCAATCCCTGCTGGCAGCATCTCCTGGTAGGGCTGGGATGGAAAACCTTGCCTGAAACCCTGGAGAGGAGCTGCTGCCAATCATTGTAAACATCACTGAGTTAGATGGGTCTACGGTCTTGATTTGGGAGCAGGTAGCTTTCTGTGTTCCTAATAGCTTTATACTTTGTGCTGCAGGGTTTTTTTTTTATGGGGGCGGGCTAAAAAAATCTGCCAGGTGTTTTATTCCATAAGAGTTCTCCATGAAGCTGGTCTGTGTTTGGGTGACCTCAGGCTATGGTTTCCAAAGAGTTCCTGTTTTGTTTGTCTACCATCTCATAATATTAACAGATCAGGTGCTCCATAGAGGACTCTTGCTTGTCATTGCAGAGCTGTTCCTTTTGTTCTTTTCTGGTAACAAAGACTTGACCCGCTTGCTAGTAGGTGTGAGTCAGCCTTTATGTTACTCCCCTCCACACCCTGAATTGAAAACGTCCCTAAACTTTGCTAGTTGCAGGACATCTGGGACTCTGGTTGGCCACTGTGAGAAGAGGTTATGGGACTGGCTGGGCCAAGGGGCTGATCCAGGAGGCTCTTCTAATGTTATTCTGCTCTTGTACTCAGATACTGCTTGAGTGTTTCCCACTGGGGCATCTGACTGACCACTTTGAGAACAGGAGGCTGGGCTAGATGGGTCACCAGCCTGATGCAGCAGGTGGTTCTTATCTTCTGATGTTCATAACATGCGACTGGTTAATTTGATTTCATTTATTATATTTCTGTGCCGCTTTTCATTCAAATGAATTCCAAAGCGGTTTACAAACAATAAATAACAATGACATAATACTGTAGCCTAAATACACCCTAAACCATAAAGAATAATGAACAAACAATCAGTGGAAACAATTACAGTCTGTAAAACAGTTAGCAAAGTAACAATTAAAAAAATAAGTTAAACATCACACTTGAAGCAAAAGTCATATGACTAACAAATCAATACAGCATTTATAATCTATAAAACAATATTAACAACATCAGCAAAGTAGCCACCAAAAAATGAACTTGTTAAGTTCATACACACACACACTCCACACCCCCTTGACTCATAATCCGTCACTCTGTTCAGCTTCTTAAAAAAACCACACACACACACACACACACACACACTCTGCTCGGGGCAGCAACTTCCTTCTGAAGGTTCCTTCCTTGGGCTGGAGGTAGGGCAGCACAGGTGGCAAACAGAGTCTTTCTCCTCTCACAGTTCTTCCTCTGGAATCAGCTCCCTTAAGAAGACTCCTGGGTAATGCAGGTGGAAAGAGCCATTACCTGCTTTCCCCTCACCACTGTACTTGGCCAGTTGTGATAATAGGATGCTGAATTATGTGGGTCACTGGCCTGATCAATAAGGTTCTTCTTATGTTCTAAGGCTAGCTTATTTTCATTGTTTTATACAATGTTCTGTTGACAGGAGGGGAAGAGGGCTCTTGTGCTCAGATCCTCCTTGCTGACTTCCCACAGACACCTGGTTGGCCACTGTGACAACTGGATGCTGGACTAGATGGGCCGCTGGCCGATCCAGCAGGTTCTTCTTATCTTCATGCTGATCTTCCAAAGCAGCATTGTCTGGTCCTGATGTTGACGCTGGTGGGACCCATCTCGCTGCACAGCAGATGCCACAATTTCAGGGGCAGGAAGGTTTGCTACTGAGGGGCACCCCTGGGGTGCATCGACTGTGTCTCTCGGGAAGAGATCTGGGTTCTCTTCTTGCAAATCTTCCGAGAGTCCAGTGAAAGTGTTGCCCCTGGCAACTTCTTCATTCCACTGGGATGGTGGAGTTGTGATTGCTTCCCATTGCAAACAGCCATCACACCACTTACTCGTCAAAGTTTTCTGGGTGTAATTGCTTCCTTGTGTATGATTGCTACCCTGTCCTCTGCCACAATAATAATGCTGCAACAACCATCCAATCTGTTCTCTGTTATGTAAAGTGAAAGACAAATTCTGGATCATGGTGACCTTGAAAGCTGCTATTCTTTTGTTACTTATTACAGCATAAGGTTGCACATTACCATTGAACTTCTGATTCAAAACGTTTTTTTAAAAATACATTCTTCCCTGTAAACCTGGCTTATATGTATTTTTGTAGGAAGTTAGCTTAATCATAGTTACTATTGACCAACTTTTCTCAATCCATTCAGATACAGTAGTAGATACACTTCTTTTTCAATTTTTTAACTATTATAATATCAGCAGTTATGAGGATAAACACTGTTTCTTGGTCATTCTCTGGAATAACATATTTTAGATAACAAAGCAGAAATGTTTTAGGTTACATGGGTATACGATATCCTAACATATTAGAGGTGTTAGCCTGAACAGATTTCTAGAATATTGACGTTCTTTTAGAGAAAAGCTGTTTCTCCACCTGTAAAGTCCCTTGGGTATTGCAACTCAAGGCAGGTGTAGGATGAGAAGTAAAATCTGGGGTGTAGTGACCTCCCTTAGGGGATCCCACATTCCTCGGCATTGAGGTATCCTCGCCTTTTTGAAACTTTATACCGGCCTCAGCACCTGGGTAATGAGTTTACAGCCTACAATGCACTAAATTGTAATCTGTGCTGTTGCAAAGAACGTGTCTGCCAAAGAATCCAGAGTGCTCTGATATATATTATATATATATATATATATATATATATATATATGATTATGAGATGCTCATCAGATTTGCAGGTCTCATCAAATTCATGGAGGAGAGGGGTATCAAGGGCTAGTAGCCACAATGGCTATGCTCTGCCTCTACAGTCTGAGGCAGCAATGCTTCTCAGTGCCAGGTACTGGAAAATGCACAAGGGGAGAGGGTTCTTGTGCTCAAGTCCTGCTTGCTGGCTTCCCATAGGCATCTGGTTGGCCCCTGTGAGACCAGGGACTAGACTACATGGGGCAACTTTGGCCTGATTCAGCAGGTCATGTTCTTATAAGAACATAAGCAACACCCAGAGGCCCACAGGTTCCTCACATTGCCAGACAATGCAGAATACCCCCAGGCCTGTCTTTGGATGGACACATCCGTCTTTTGTATTTTGATTAGCAAACTAGTTGAAGATGTATTAATTTCAATATGGGTAAATATCATGTTCTCCACTTAGGCAGGAATAACCAGACACACACATATAGGATTGAGGACGCCTGGCTTGACAATGTGAAAAGGATCTGGGGGGGTCTTAGGAAACACCAAGCTTAATATGAGCCAACGGTGTGATGCAGCATCAAAAAAGGCTATTATGCAATTCTGGACTGAATCAGCAGAAGTTGAGTGTCCAGATAAAGGGAAGTGATAGTACTGCTCCATTTAGCATTGGGCAGAGTCTGCCCGGCACCCCACTTGGTGGGGCGGATATTGATAAACTGGAAGGTGGGCAGAGGAGGGCGACCAAGATGATGAAGGGCCCAGAAACAGGAGGGAGAGATGGCCACCAACTATATAGCTTTAGAAGAGGATTAGATGAGAAGAGGGCTATTTAGGGCTGCTATCACAATGGCTATGTCTCCACAGTCTGAGGCAGCCAGAATTCTGAATACCACTTGCTAGAAACAGCTGGAGGGGAGAATGCTTTTGTGCATGAATCCTGCTTATGGGTTTTCCATTGGAACATCAGAACTACCCCTGTGAGGACAGGATACAGGACCTGTTGGCCCATTGGCCTCATCCAGCATGGCTCTTCTTACATTCATATAAAGATTGCCATAGGCAGTGTTTACTGTGTGGCATTGTCCCTTTTGCCAGCTGCTTTTTTATGTGTGTTTCAGCCCCAAAGGTGGAACTTATGACCCCTTGTCTTCCAGGTGGCATTGCTGAAGTTCTTCTCGCCTGAAGAAAGGCCTTTTTTCGGGGAAGGAAGCCGCCGTGTCCGGAGGAATAAGCGGAGCAAGAACAGCGAAGGATCAGAGGGTGAGAGAGAATCTTTACCTTTTCTGTTTTAATGTTGCATTTCAACACACTTCACAGCCAGCAGTCAGGCATTGCAGGGGGTTGGGTTCCCTTACAACTCTATGATTCTTCTGAGCCACTATACGAAGAAAAAGGAGCTTCAGCTCTTCTCTCTTTCCCTAAACAGGAAGATTTCCTAAGATCATGTGCTCCATTCCCACCTGCCTTTGACCCAGCCATCTGAGGCCAGGCACCTCTCTCTGAAAGCTGCTCCTCAGGGAAGGAATGCAAGAGCCCTTAGGGCACAGTCTCTGATTGTTGCCTTTCAGAATTCACAGCATTCATCTTTTTGTGGGCTTCAGCTTAAACTCTTAAGAGTGCCTCAGAACACATAAAAGAAGATCCTTCTTCACACAGTGCATAGTTAAACTATGGAACTCACTCCCACAAGAAGCTATGATGGCCACCAATCTAGATGGCTTTCAGGTGGCGGTCTCTCCTTTGTTGGAGGTTCTGGCAAGAAACTCAAGACAGCTCTGTGAGATCCTCCCAGAGTCCACCAAGCAAGGTGGAGAGCTTCTAAGCTCTTTCCACACCTGGAGAACCCTGCGCAAAAAGAGCTCCTAAGCTTTCTGCACACTTAATTTGTGCTATTTCAACTGGCTGTCCATCAAACACATAAAGTTGAAATCATGCAAACTAAAAGGCGCTCAGGTTGCAAGCAACCTGCAGCTCATAGTTCATAGGCGGGGTGAAGCATGCTTAACGGGATCCTTCTTTTCGGCTTGCGTTAAAGGCTGCACCACAACTATCTATCGCGCACGGTTCTGCCTTCCCCTGCAGGCGTTGAGGTGGGAATCCAAACAGAGCTCTGTCTGTTACGCAGCTGACAGATATTGCCACAGTTCTAACATATGCAGACTCATGTGTTTCAACAAAATACCCAGAGGGCTCTTGGCTAGAATTAAGAGTTTATTTTTATATACCACAGCACTCTTTTTTTAAAAAAAAAACAAAAACCCAATGCCACACTATTAAAGTTCAACAATCCAAGCTGCAGTTCAACAGCTGTGTTTCTGTTCCATTTTCTAACACTTAATGCAGAACACTTAAGAACATAAGAATAGTCTGCTGGATCAGGCCAGTGGCTCATCTAGTCCAGCAACCTGTTCTCACAGTAGCCAGCCAGATTCCCGTTGTGGGAAACCAGCAAACAGAAGAGCCTTGTGGATCAGGCCAATGCCCCTCATAGCTAGTAGCACTCTCCTTCATGAATTTGTCTAATCCTCTTTTCAAGCCATCCAATTTAGTGCCATCACTTCCTCCTGCAGGAGGATGTTCCATAGTTTACCTAAAGAAGTCCTTCATTTTATCTGTCCTGAATCTCCAAACATTCAAGCTCTAGTGTTACGAGAGAGGGGGAAGCTGGACGGATATGGGAAGATCCCTCCCTGCAGATATATTCTAAGAACGGAAAGCAATCTGCATCAAAAAGGTCAGTTTTAGCCTCTTCCCCAGACCACCCTATATCTGTGTCTGGTCAAGCCCTCTGATGAAGCGATGTCCCAGACGTTATCAGAACGTACTTCACATGGTAAAACACCATGAAATTTCCAATAAAGGGCAATAAATAACCTGGTGTCCACTAGTAACTAGACTGGATTTCTATTTGTGATGGAGGGGCTGGCATCGTTCTCTAAAGAGATAAGAGCCAAAAAAGGGCAGAATTAGTGCTGTTACAGGCACCACATAGCCCATCCCACATTTGTTTAGTCTGCCAGCGCCTAGACTTTGGAACTCCCTGCCTATTGACACCAGGCAGGTACATTCACTGTATTGTTTTTTGTGCCTGCAAAAACATTCTTGTTTAGACAAGCCTGTCCAGATGTTTATGAAGTTGAGGTGTATTATAATCTTGTTTTTAGCAGGGAAAGAGAAATGCTATTGGGTGACAGAGAAGGCGGAAATGTTCTGCCCCCCTACTTTGCCTTTGTCTTCACCCAAACAAAAGCAGTACCCAACCAGTTGATAACAGAGTAAATGATGTAAGGAGAAACAACGGTGACCTTACTGTGAGTGTCTGCTATAGAGGGAGTGGAAAGGCCATTGACCTGATCCATCGTGCTCTACTTAGATTTTCATGTTCTTTGTCCAGAGGCTATCCCAGAGTTCATAGGTGCAGTTTTGAAATTTGTTAAAACCAGTGCCGTTTCAAAAGGCTAAGCCCAGCATCTTGATTCAAAAAGGGGCGCCCAGCCATCTCCAGACATAGATGGTAATCTGCGCCAAGGGACTGCGCCAAGCAGAGCAGCAATTCTCTGCAAGATACCGTGGAAGAATGAACACGTAATTAAAGAAGAAAATATGTGACATTAATTCGACATTGCAGGGAAAACAGATTTATAGGAAGGGAAGATTTTTCTTCATGTCTCAGACTTTTTAAAAAAGACTTCTGGCTACTTCTAGCATAGTTGAACACTGGCTGGGATGACTAATCCTTCTGTCAGCAGGTTTTTTGCTTCATATTTTGTTTGTGGCTCACAGGTGAAGAGAGAGCTGGAGAAATAAACCTCTATCCTTGCAAGCTGCAACCTGCTGCAAAAGGGCAGGAGATTTTCAGGGTTTGCAGTCGTGCTGAGAGTCAGTAGAGCAATGATTGGTGCTGGAACTGAGGTTCAGGAATGGTTCCCTGGGACAATCCCTGTAGGGTTGGCAGCATGGCCAGTGGACAGTATCATAATGCTATTATACAAATCTATGGTGTGACTGCATTTGGAATATACCGTCGTCCATACTGGTCACTGAACCTCAAAAGGGATACTGTAGAGTTGGAAAAGAAAAGGGCAGATCAAATGAGCAGGGGGGTGGAATGATTCCCCCACGAAGAAAGTTTGCAGCATTTGGGATTTTTTAGTTAAGATAAGGCAATCAGGAGTTGTCATGATGGAAGTTTATAAAATTATGCATGGCATGGAGAAAGTGGAGAGAGAGAAATCTTTCCTCTCCTAACAATAAAACTCGAGTGAAGGTTGTAAGATTCAGGGCAGATAAAAGAAATGACTTCTATTTGATAAATAGTTGTTAAACTGTGGAACTTTATCCCATAGGAGGCAGTGATGGTCACCAACTTGGATGGCTTTAAAAGAGGATTGGACAAATTCATGAAGGAGGAGAGAGCTATTGATGGCTACTAACCACTATAACTATGCTCTGCCTTAAAGGCCAGAGGCAGCAATGCTTCTGAATACCAGTTGCTGGAAACCACAGGAGCGGTTAGGGCTGTTGTGCTCTAGGGCATCTGACTGGCTACTGTGAGAATAGGATGCTATATTAGATGGACCATTAACCTGATCCAGCAGATTCTTCTTATGTTCTTATAGGAGTTGTCGTTCAGCAATGTCGAGAGGCCCAGAGTTTACCCACACTGACCTCAGACGCTTCTATCTTTTGTGTATTGATTAGCAAACTGGTTTCAATATAGGTAAATATCAGGTTCCCCACTTGGGTAGAAATAACTAGATGCACACATACAGGATGGGAGACACCTGGCTTGACAACATCTGAAGGCCCTGATCCACTAGGTGCTGATGTGGATTGCACCCTGTGCCTTGCAGATTCAGGCCCAGGCTGCCACTGGGCCCAGCACTGGTGGCAGCAACAAGCAGTTCTAGCTCTCCCATTGCCACCCTACCACGGCACTTACCTGACCTGGGGGTTCTGGATCATGAGCTCTACCTGTCAAAACGGGAGCCTCAGTCATCACCCTCTCCTGCTGGAAACAAACCAGGACTGCTCCAAGAAAATGCACATGGTAAAAAGGAGTACTAGGCCCTGGTGGGCTATCCCCTTACTCACTTGTGATTGGCCAAGCGGATAGCCAGTCAATCAGGATTTTTAAAAAATGACACACACACTCCTCTCGCTTCCCTCTGTGGTGCCTTAGCCTCATGCTGTGGCCTCCCATTTGTGCAATTTTCACCTGTCTCTCTCCCCCCCCCCCCGGAATATCCTGGGTTCCTCCAGGGGGCCATATGGCCCTTGGTTGGGAAACACTGGGCTAGAGTTCCTTCCAACTCAGCAATTCTATGAATCTATAGTCCTCATTCACATCACTCCTTATTCACTGCAGGGTTTTGTGCACTCATGTTATTTCCTGAGCAAATCCAAGAAGTGCTTAATCTGCAGAATATGAAAACGTAAGGACAAGAACGTAAGCTGGATCAGGCCAATAGCCCATGTAGCCCAGCATCCTGTCCTAACAGTGGCCAACCAAATGCCCCAAAAGGAAACCTGAAAGCAGGATCCAAGCACAACAACAACTCTCTCCTCTTGTTGTTTCCAGCAGCTGCAATTCAGAAGCATTGCATGCAATGGGTTTTTCATCTTCTAAGAACACTGACACATATTTCCTGGTCTGTCTTCCTCTGTGCCACTCCTTTGTGATCCTCAAGACCGTCAAGTTTTTTCTTATTTTACTGGTGGATGAATGAAGATCAGCTTCGTGTTCAGCCTTCTGATTTTGCAGCTCCTTTTTCCGTTATGAGCCTGATCTTGATGTCTTAACTCCCCAGCCCTGAGCTCAAGCGGTTGCAATTGCACAATTGCCTTCCTCCTGCCAAGACACTTTTGCTGACAAGTTTGGGCTGAATTGGACAAGTATTTGAGTAATTTTGTAATTAGTTGCATGTCTGAGGTTTTCCTAACCTTTTTTATTTTTTAACTTGACATTTCTTCATGTTTTGGAGAACTGACGAGGTTCTCTCAGTCTATATGCATTAAAGGATGAGGCTGACTCTTTCCAACAAATCTCAGCTGCTTGTCCAAAATTCAGGCCTTGTACAGGCTTATTTATTAAAATTCATTTCATAAAAACTTTACACCCCTCAATTGTAAAACAACCTCATGGTAGTTTACAAAAAAAAAAAAAAATCCAGGAAAGGAGTTACAAGACTTTAAAACATACAAAAGTTAAAATATTAAAACAGATCAAAACTCACATCAACTTTCGAAGCGTCTGGGCA